TGCAGATGTTGGGGAAGAGTATCATGTTGCAACTTAGAATAAGTCAATATCAAGGGTTTTTCTTTAACAAAACGAATGGATGGTCAGTGCAGAGTTAACGGGAGACATGGTCGTAGTTTCATCTTCATGGACAAACTACCACTTACAATTGTCGCACACAAAACATGATACGGGATAGTAGAAAACTCCTCATTTTTTAAAATATAATAAAATTTGAAGTTGCTCTGTAGATTTACTTTTACCATAACAATAAGAAAGCCTTTATCTTGACTTTTGTGACTGTCGACATGCTTGAAATGACTGACAGAGAGATGAGGGTACTTAGCTTGCCACACTATACAATTTATTGCTCCAATTATCAAGTTGAATATATCAGAAAAAATATGACTAGCAGACCAAGTTCATTCCAGTGATATGCCCAAGCAAATCATCAATTTAGATTATGCAGATACTGCGATTTAATCAACTATAATCATCATAGATGAGAGCAGTAATATTTAAATTTGTAGACAGTAATGATCCCAAGAATATCTTCTGACATCTCACTCAATTAAGAAAGTAAGTAAGAAAACTAGTAATATGAAAACCAGAAATGAAGATTCTAAGCATGCTAACCTTGAAACCGCAGCCAGAAACACAAGCATGAAAACACTCCTGCATGGATGGAACAAGTTATAATACTTGACAGCATATCCAAGGTAAATGTAAGAAAGAAACAGCAGAAATCATTTGTTGTGATTTTTCTAGTATAAATATTAGCTAGTAAGCTATTACAGCAGGAAATCCAATAACACACCGATAAACCAGTTATTTACTGAAATGATGTTTTTCTAATATCAACAGATTGATGTATATTATGATAAGGACATTGAGTAATATGAAGTATAGTGGATGATGGAAATTGGTAATGTTGCTCGACCACACAGTAATCTGCATCATCCAAAATGAATAAACTAAATTCAAAGCGTTTTTAGTATGAAAAGCAGTACTAACTGTACAAAAACACTGATTTTATACGTTATGAGTACCTAAAGTGTCCAACATGACAATTATTTAACTGGAGCATGCAAAGACATCGATACTACAAATATATAAACTATTCACCTCATGCTACGAACAACAGACTCTATTTAGCACCAATTATTTGCTAACTCATGACATTAACATTGTTCAGAAAAGAATGACACAAGTTTGGAGATGGAGTAATATGCTTGTCAAGATTTCTTCGCTCAATTATTTAGTCTGGATATCTTTCTAAAGCTTCCAGTTCTTTAAATATAATCATATCCTATTTTCCTTTCTATCATTGCATGAGAGACGTCTAAGTAATAGAACATAGGTCTCAAAGTGGTGTGTCGTGTTCTGAGCGTTGGATTTGGTGAACTGTAGTGAAAGTGGAGGTCCTTGGTACAATGACATAATTTTTTTATTTTCTTTGATGATAGACAAGACAACGAAAAAAGAAAAAAGAAATAAAGTTTCTAGATCCATTGTTGTCGGCAGTATTAAAGGAGAGGAGTATCCTTTAGCCACTTCTACATTGTATGCAAAGCCAATGTCAAATTACTCTTAACAGTTTGTAACTTTGAAGTTTGAAGTATCAACGAAATTCAATATTCTACTGTCTGTTAAAAGAAGGGATATCCTAAGTCGCTGAGAGTATCCTACTGGACTAGGCTTAGTGAACCAAGGTCACAGCTCACGTAGGTGTTTATAAACCCCAATTGATGGGTGTCAGCTCACGTAGGTGTTTATAAACCCCAATTGATGGGTGTCAGCTCACGTAGGTGTTTATAAACCCCAATTGATGGGTGTCAGCTCACGTAGGTGTTTATAAACCCCAATTGATGGGTGTCAGCTCACGTAGGTGTTTATAAACCCCAATTGATGGGTGTCATGACGTAAAGTCGTATAATAGATCAGACATGTAAATGAGCATTGTAGATATTATTTTAAAAACATATATTTGTGGTATGATGGGTCTTATAGTATGAAACATACCTTTATCTCATAAATTTAGACCCAACACAGAAAAACCTGAAGCGGCCCATAAGAACCAACTTGACTCGTCAGATGCACTAAAGTGCAGACATGCATGGACTCTTTTAGTCCTAATACCTTTACAATTCAAATAAATTTAAATTGAACTAAAGAAGACAATTCACAGGCAAGGCAGAATTCAGCAAACCAAACATGGAGGGCCAAGCAACCATTCATCCTTATCATATGTATAGGTTAACTATATTATATATCTGAATTTTGCTTATGGATGTAATTAAAACACTTTGAAAGTTGAGAAAGAGGAAATGTACATGACAGTGGGTTGCGCTTTAGTATAAAATTGCTCTAGCTCCTAAAATAGTTTAAAATTCAATATCTCATATTAAATTATATCATAAGAATATAATTCCTATTCACAAGGGAGGTAGCAAGACCAACCAAAGAATAATTGGTATCCCCTGGAGACCTATCTATGTAAGCGCTCCACTGCTGATCCTTGAAGACTGGGTCCTTATAACATATCTCTTCACATTCTCCAATACCTAAATTAAAAATAATAACCAACTAGGTTAACAGGAACCCCATTCATAAATAGACCTTTTTCTGAAAGGTCAATGAATATTTCTGCAAGCCAACATAAAAATGAGAACAGATTAAGTAAAAGAATAACAAGCATGCATGAAGTGTAAATCTTGAATGGAGATAAACTTATTGCTCAATAAAGTTGTTCAAAGATCAAACATGAAATAAATGACAGATCAATGGACTGGAAATACAAATCATGATCCTACAAAACGAATTCAAATAAAGAGATTTAAGGATTCAAAGACATCTGTTCTAAGGATGTATATGTTTAGACAATAAACAACGTTGAATAAATGTGATACATGAAGTAGAGTTTATATATAGGAATAGTTGGTTTAAAAAACATATTTACTCGAAAAAGTGAAATTTTTTCCTTAAATTGCAAATGCAGGGCACAGCAATGCAGGACAGCAAGAAGAATATAGGGAAAAAAGATGTCAGACCATGGTAATATGAATAATTAATTTCCATAATCAAAATTTTCTTTCTTGTGCACAAGAGCAATATGTACTGGAAACCTGGGAAAATGACAAGGATAAGGATGATTAACTGACTCCAAGTAAAGATAAAATCTAACTCCAATAAAAGATGAAAATTAACTCAAATAAATAAACAATCAAAGAAAAAGATTAATCATGTCCCGAAGTCTGCAAAATATCTATGCTATAGTGAAATGTTAAGACCCGAACTCGTTTCCGTCATGCAGGTGATATCATCCCAAGAAATGATGTTCAAAGAGTCTATATTCATCAACTACATCTAAACGAGGAAGTTAGAGCTTCATATTTAAGTAATTGGCACATATCTCAATCAACATTATCATCTGGACGCAATTATCAAAAGAGAAAAACTCACCATACTACACAAATTACAAATAAAACTTTCATATTTTTTTCTCCTTTTCTTTCTTAGGACAGTTTCGCAACATCCTGAAATTCTAGGATATAAATTGCGCATGCCTAACTAATAAAACTAAAAGTACGGGCAACTCAGTGTTATAAAAATAATACCTTTTGTTGCATAGATAATAAAAATTAGTCAAAACACTCCATTCTCCATTCTCAAGACTAATTGACGTGGGTAGGTCAAGGTGAAAAAAAATGGATCATCATGATATCTGTCATTATTGTTTAAGCATAAATCAAAACTACCAAATTATAGAGTTGGCTAAAAAAAATATTCACCTTGAAAACATCAAATAACAAAAGGCAACATATTTTCACAAAAAAAAGGAAGTCCACAAAAAAAAGGGCAAAGCTTACAATCCTCCATAGTGTCCCCATCAGCATTGCATCCTTTCTTGCAGAAAACTCTCCCTGCAAGTAGCCATCAAAATGTCATATTTTCAATTATCCCCAAATACATCAATACCATTACACAACATGTTCAATTTTTTTAACTTTTCTTGGTATAAAAGAAATACAATTAACTTATTTGAAGGTGAAATTATATGGAAAAAAGACCTAATTCAAGAGAGCTAATAAAAATCAAAACCTAAAATTTCTCAAGAGAGAGAGAGAGAGAGAGAGAGATACGAACATGGAATCTGCATCAATGTGGCATATTTCTTGGTGCAGCAGCTTCCACAAGGGGGAGTCCAATCCTTAGGAAACATTTCTTCTAAAAAAAAGGATTTTTTTCCCCTCCCTTTTCTTTGAAAATTTCCCTTTTTTCCCTTTTTTAATATCGCGCCTCTTAAATTTTTATGGAGATGAAGAGGAGAAATGGAAAGGAAAGGGGGGAGGAGAGAAAAGGGAGGGAGGGGACGGAGCCCAAAATAGATTCATCGCTTTTAACTCGGTTTTAAATTCAATTAAAATTAAAATAGAATTTAAAACCCCAATATAAAAAGGGGGGAAAACGAACAAAGAATCAACGAAAGCTGTTGTATTTGCAGGAGGGTAGGCAAATTCAATACGTAATGATACGGGTGGTGGGCTATATTAGTTAGATTTAGGCCCAGCCCACGTCCAAAAACAGATGCTTCTCCTTTTCTTTGTAATTAGGAGGCTTGGCGTTTTTGTGGTCCATTGATCACTTAAAATCATGAGCTGCCATAAGTGTACTATTATTTTCCTATTAATTTGACACTACAAAAAATAAAAAAAAATTATGACCATATTAACTTATTATTTTTTTAATAACTTCCAAGAAAAGATGTCACTCTTTTATTTCTTGTAGTGTCAGATTAGTAGCAAAATTATAGCATACTTATCTTTTTCCTCGTAGGTACGCGTACTTGAGTGGGCTCTTTCTTTCTACATTTGGCCATTTGGTCTCACAATTCAACCATTTGCAGCACCAACAGCAATAACATGATTTTTTATGGCACTAGATAAAATGTTTTCAATATATTTGGAAGCCTGGAAAACGGCGGATCTATATAGTGTCTAATATTGTCACTGGATATTACTGGATTCGACACTGGTTTTAATTTCATGAAGTTTGTCATAATTTTATCCAATGATGTTTTATGACATCACTAGAACAAAAATCTTGGATCCACTCATTAGAGTGCAGTGTAACAAGACTTTCACATTCTTAGAAAGAAGATATCATGATTTCTGTCATATAAATAATATTATTGAATAAGTATGCATTCATGGTACATTTGGAAATTTTTTTAATTATTTTGTTTTCATTTCATAACATCTCATTAGGAATGGTCACTTCCATATAAAGTGAATATTAATGAGAAGCAAGAATAAAAAATTTAGCTTTTAAAAACACATTGTGTTTTATACGAACAGATGAGAAGCGAGAGCTGACATTTCATGTTCACTCATTTTCGCTTACCAAACAAGATGTTAGCTTACTTTTCTTCGCCTAAGTTGTTCCGTCTATATGAATGTTGATTCACTCAGTGAGTAAGCGGTGGATCGAGGAAAACTTTTTTAAAGGGACGAACGACAATTATCTATTTCTTTAAAATAAAAATATGATATTATAAATTTATAGTATTAAGTACACAAGGCAGAGAAACAAAAATAGTTTCACTACTGGTTTATATCTATTAATGAAATTGAAAGATATATATACTTGCTAGTTACAGAATTCTACAATATGCTAAATTCACCTACTTAGATGAGCTAAATTCAAATGGTCCACTAAGTTGTTAGTGATAATACAAGGTTGGGGATGCAAAAACTTTGAATCAGAATTGTAAGAATATATACATATACATACGTGCATGCATATATATAGTGATCCAAGTGAGGGCAATAAAAAATAGATTAAGGTGGACATGCCCTCTTTCTTACTATGGCTGAAAGGGTAAAAATGTAATTTTACAATTTAATAAAGAGAGATTTTGTTCCTTTATTCTAAAACATTCTATCTATATTTTATCATAAACATAGATAAAGTATGTTATTTTTTTATCTTTGTTGTTTCTAGAACATTTTAATCAATATTTTTCCATAATTATAGTTAACGTCTATATAATTTTTTTTATTAAGAATAGTCTGTATAATTATATAAAGTTTAATTATCCAAATCATAAAAATTAACGAATCAAGAACTAATATTTAAGAAAGATTGTGGCTATAAAATATGACTCAAATGGTAGAAGGGACATATTGCAGCATGCAAAAAATTGCATCCAAATGCATATCGTTTCACGCTCTGATACCATTTGTTGGGAATTTAACGTCTAAATCCCTAATGCAACAGAAACGCAGAATAGAAAAAGTACACCAAGTTTTACGAGGTTCGGCAACTGCCTACGTCCTCGGGAGCCACACAGATAATTTCTTATTAATCAAACAAGAAATTACAATTTAGGAGCAGATCTCAAAACTGAGATTTCTCAAATAAACACTGTAGCTACAGTGTTAATAATTAAAGGGTATGAACACCTTTCAATTCTCACTTGAGAATAAATGAATAACCTCCACAATATAAAACCCCAAATTAATTCCTCTCTCTCTCTCCTTAAACCCTCTTCTTAATCTCCCCTCAAAACTCAGATGAGTGCTGGAGATTAGAAATCAAATCGCTGCTGCGATTTCTTGGTCGAAGGTGATGAACGCTACTGCGTTAATTTCGTCCGCCGCCAGAGAGAAATCGGGGGAAGGAGCTCAACTGAAACCCTAGGCGACGAGGGGGTTTTATAGGCGATGTGGATGGGCTGGCGACAGCCTGTCGCCAGCGGCCCGCGGACGCCAAAGTCGGGCGAACGCAGAGGTCGAAGAAAAACACCAAGGTCGAAAAACGCCGAGGTCGAAAGGAGTTCGAACGCAGAGCTAAAGGGTTCGAACGCAGAGGTCGGGGTTTGAACGCAGAGGTCGGGGGAGTCGCTCGCACACGGGGCTTGAGCTCGCCTGCGTCATTCTGGAGCTCGTCGGAGCTCCCCCGCCGTCGGAGGTTGGTATCCACCCCCAAAATTAACACTATTATGTATTTCGTTGCACTCAGAACATCCGTCACTATAACTAGTTATGCGTGACGGTTAAAATGGTCATAGGTGGCGATGGGGGTTTTATAGGCGATGTGGATGGGCTGGCGACAGCCTGTCGCCAGCGGCCCGCGGACGCCAAAGTCGGGCGAACGCAGAGGTCGAAGAAAAACACCAAGGTCGAAAAACGCCGAGGTCGAAAGGAGTTCGAACGCAGAGCTAAAGGGTTCGAACGCAGAGGTCGGGGTTCGAACGCGGAGGTCGGGGGAGTCGCTCGCACGCGGGGCTTGAGCTCGCCTGCGTCATTCTGGAGCTCGTCGGAGCTCCCCCGCCGTCGGAGGTTGGTATCCACCCCCAAAATTAACACTATTATGTATTTCGTTGCACTCAGAACATCCGTCACTATAACTAGTTATGCGTGACGGTTAAAATGGTCATAGGTTGCATTTGTGGATTGCTGTAAAATATCATCTAGCGTGACAACTCCAACTGCACTCAGAACCTTATTTATTTTTTTAGTGTTTACTTTACTATAATAGTGACTCAATTGTCGCGCATCATTTCTCCTAAAAGATATAAAAGATCACAAGATAACGATATCAGACAATAATAACATAGTTTCAAAGCTCAAACAACATTTAATCAGTTCTAAATAATGTCACACAAAAATATCCATGTCACAACTAGAATTAGTTAGTAGTACCTAGTTCAGCTAGCCTCAAAAGAACTTCCAATACAAAATATATAGATTCTAAACCATTGATTTATAATTACATAATCTTTAATCTTCAGCATCATTGTCATCAGAGAGATTTGCAACCTCCAAATCTTCCTGCACCAAAAACAATATATATCACTAGTAGATGATATGGCTCTACATTATTCAACAAAACAAAATAGAAAAGATCTACATGTTATAATAAAAATAGAAAAAACTCAATTTGTACTTTGTAATTGAACTAGTCAGAATATTTCTACATTATTTATCTCTAATAGGAACAATTTATTCTAGTTTTATTCAAAACATCCCTTCATGATAGTCTTGGGATTCGATACAGGTTCCATTGAGATGAATGAATATGAACAGAAAATAAAATTGAGAACAAATTTGATCATTGAGCAAGTATAAACAGGTCTAATCCAATCTTGAACACCAAATCAAATGTATAACAGGGACCGTAGTTTACAAATTAAATGTTTTTAATACATTAGGATAATAGGATTTCACTTGCATCAGGTTTCAAAATTGCTTTGTTATTGCAAATACGTAAACTTTTAGCGTCTAAATCAATTTCAATCAAACAATAAGGAAACATGTCTACAAACACTAAAAAATAAATAAGGTTTAAGAATTTACCTTTACCGAATTATGTGGACTATTGGTTGTTGTCGAGGATCAATGGCCTCCTATTATTGATTTTTCTAGATCACCAGTAACATCTGTAAATAACCTAGCACCAAAAATGTCAGAAACATTAATATCTTTCAATTGTTTTCCATTTTGAATTTGTGAGATCATCATCTGCCAACCATTGGTTAAGCGGAATTCAGCGCGTAACTCAACTCGTATCTCAGCTCGCATCTCAGCTTGCATCTCAACTATTTTGTTATTGTTCTGTGTCTGCAAATCAGAATTTGTCCTCAATTGTGTCAGATTAACTCCCTTGCCATGAAGTGATACACGCATAGATCTTGGTTTTATTCTGAATTTCCTCTGATTGTTCAGATCTTAAAAGGTCAACATCCGACTGCACATTTTATATAATCAGTTTAGTGTAAAGAAGACATATTTTGTTATTGATAAATAACAAGGAAATATTTTTTACTTTTGACTTAGGGGGTGTTTGGTTACATTTCTATAAATTATAGGAAATGTTTTCCATCCCAAATTTGATTTCCTTGTATTTCTTAAAAAAATTATAGGAAAAGTTTTGAGAAGTTAAAAAGTACAAATTTTTTTATTTTTTGTATTGTGCTTGTTTGGTTCAAAACAAGAAAATGAGAAATAACTTTTGGGAAAATAGCAACATTTCCTATAATTTATAGAAATGTAACCAAACACCACCAACTTTATAGAAAAGTGAGAACTTTGTAGAAATGAGTTAATGAGTTTTATTATTCAAAAGTGAGAAATTTGGTACTTTTGGGCACTTTACAGAAAACATTTCTGTAAATTTTTTTGGAGCCAAACACAGTTTATAGAAATATATAGAAAACTCTTAATTACATAAATGTCATGCGTCAGTACTTTTGAGAAAACATTTCTAAAAAACAATGAAACCAAACACCCCCTTATCATCAACCATCATTCTTCCATCCTTGCCGGTCCGAGTTTTAAAAAAAACATTTCCACTTCGATTGGGTCACGTCCTGTACTTTTCTTCTATTGAAATGCCCAAAAAAAAAAAAGAAAAAGAGGAAACGTTAATGTATAAATAATATGAATACTAGTATAATGTATTTTGGTTACTAAATTTGATTATTCCTTGGATGATAATACAAATTTTAGAACAAAACCTATATGCTTAGAAGCCTTTTGATCGTTCCCGTACATACAAATGGAGACAAATTACTTATAATCAATGAAATTATAAGAATGAAAAATATAACAAAAGTTAAAGCCATATAATACTTTAACTCGTCTCACAATCTCTTCCCTTACTTAGGCAAAGCTCTTTGATCCCATATGGTGCATATTTTTTTGAGCGTCACGACTAATCTTGCCCCTTTCACTATGTGCCTATAGCAAATCATAAGCATAACAGGGGCATTAAACAAAATTTTTAAGCTACAACCAAAAAGCTCAAAAATCTCAACATATAAATATCATACCTTCCCTTCAGGAAAGCTCTAGAATTATTTTTGGTGTAATATTTTATCGCTGCATTCTACTTTTAAAGTTTCTCCATAGAGTTCCAATAGTAGATAACACCCAAGAGTGACCACGTTCATCAATGACAAAACTTTTCCTGTAGCATTTTAAACTGTAAGCAAAACCCACATTTGCCGTCAAGGTACTTCTTACATTTCAAGTCTAAGATCATAGCATGTACCACATTGATCATTTTCCACATATCAGCTTTATTTTCAATTGTGACATCAGTCCATTCCAAGTAAGTGAAAGGAGCTAAAGCGTGCATTGCGAGCCAAAGTTCACAAGTATGAACTTCGCTCTTCTGCATTTTTCTCCCCAATCGGCCTGCCAAGATGATGCAATGTTACATGTTTCTGCTCCTCCTCGCTTATTCCAATGAGACTGACACACCTAGTAACTCCTCTACTCTTCTTCTCAATAAGACCTATTCAATAGAGAAGGAAAAAAATTAGAGGGCAACTTGAAACTTTCTTTTTTAACTTTCAAATATGTGTTGTCAAACAAAAAAAAGATCAATTACTGGTCAATCTTATTCATTCAAACCAATCTTTTTGCTAAGAAATAAGAGGACTTGCTGTGCACGCATAGATAACTCTGTCAGAATGCAACTACATGAGCAATATTCTTTCTTTCTGAATATCAGTGTAGAAGAAGATAACAAAGTGGCATTATGTAACAAGTGAGCAAACTTATGCCATCAATTGATACATTACATTAGCCATATGGAATTTATTTTATTACCAAGTGAAAAATGATATGCTAACCCTTAAATAGGTCATGCAAAACAACAGATTATCAAATAAAATAGACTGAGATTGTTTTATAATTTCTCATGATAAAGCTGCTTAAAAATAAGAATATGTAATAAGGAATAGATTATAATATGCTCTAGATGTATTACCAGAAAAACTTAAAATATTAAACGTTTATTGTAATATTTACAGTTTCATTTGTTGGGACAACTTGTAATTCTTTACTGGAACATGACTGATGTACTCCATTATCAATAGAGGCTTGTTGCACTCTTAGACTCCAATTGTGTTGGATCCGTACCACAATGTAATTTAGCTATACCGGGAATAGAATCTGCAACTTGGGCTTGATTTGTCACACAACCAGATTCTTTTTCTAGAGTTTGTCTACTTCACTTTGTATTGCCTGCAATCTGATATTGTTGAATCGAATTAGCAAGTTGGCAATCTACAACCTTTGGTGTTGTCGTGCATGGCTGAGGTGAAGACTGAGAACAAGCCTCGCTAGCAGCTGCTACATGAGAATGTAAGGCTTGGCTATAGTATAATGGTTGAGATTAAGCTTGGCTAGGGGCTGTTGGCGGAGAATTAGATTGGTGAGGTTGTGTTGATTGTTGTTTAAGATATTTAGCCATAATTTTGGGTGCGTTGAGTTTCCTCTTTCGGTGAAATTTTTCATATTTGCATCATTTAACATACTAGCATGCCAATTTTAAGCAACTTAGGATATGTAGCTGCTAAGAAAACCAAACGAGGGTACACAAGCGCTAATGAGTGAAACTAGGAGGTAATTTACCTCTCATTGGGCCAATTACAGACCAAGGCCCAGCCCCGGCCCATTTCATGGACGCGGGAAGGAAGCGGCCTGTATCATACCAGCGACCAAGATGATCCCGCATAGAAACGGGCGGCTGTCAGCAAGCTTCCACTCAATATCTCCGCCTAATTTTTGGGAAACCATCAGCTTCACTCTCACAATAACTAAAGTGAGATCCGCGATCCGACTCCATCTCAGACCTCGCTGGTCCAAGGATGGGAACAGCGGTAAAGGTAAATTTCTGAGATAATTGATGATATGGCTCAATGAAATATTCGATCGGATTTGAGACAGTTTTCGCTAAAATGACACTTTAATTGCTACTTGTTTAATGATCTGTAGTTGCTTTGGCATGGAACTTGATGCAAATTCCTAAGGAATTGATTTGGGTTTGATAAGCGGTCAATAAGACAAGAACGATGAGTTAGTTATCTACTGATGATGATTGCACTGGTTGTTAAGTTGATGGTTTTGTTTTTGGTAACTTGTGTAAATTACGTTCCTTTTATAGAGCTGGGGATATTATCTAATCCATGACTAGAAGTGTTTTCCCTTGATTCTTTCATCGGCATCCCAGCATTTTCCCATGAAAAAGCGGTCATGTTTGAAGCTTGAGCTGGAGTTGAAAAATGCTCAGCAATAGGATTGAGGAAATTTGGTTGACTGTGTATGGATGTTTCGGGTTGTTTGAACAATTGAATTGCAGATAGTTTCGATTTGCTTATATATGAGCTAGGTTCCTATAAAATATAGCTAATATGTAATTACGTGGAGGAGGAATTCGCTCTTAATTTCGACCTTTCTCAATGGTTACATATGTTTGTCTCGAGAATTTTAAGTGGTCATCAAGAGTAAGCAGTTTGGTTCTAATATTGTTTCCTACACTTGCAATAAGAATAAATATTACTGTTAAGATAGTAGAATACTAGCTTAATTGCATTATTATTTATTTAACTATCCTTTGCCTTAAAACATATATATGACCGTCGCATTACCCGAATATGCATTCTGCTGGTCAGTATTGCAGGAGTTCTATTCGAACAAGATTTGTCGAAAAAAACTGTTGAATACTGACATCGAAAAGCTTAGGATTCATACATGTGAGGGAGAGTCGGGATAGAATTTTTTGTGATTGAAAAGGATCCTGGGACAGAGGCTTGGACAAAAGCTTTTGACCTTTTCTTTTGTCTCCCTAACTTGTTTGATGACCAGAGGACTTGCTTTTTGGTAGTAGGAAGTCATGTTTCATCTCTTTTGCATTTGATTCCCCCCGAACTTATTGGCAAGGGGGCCCCTTTATCTCGTGGTAGTGTGCTGGATATGGCCATGGATCCTGGACTGAACAAATTGACAAGGACATGCATGCTCCAAGGTTACAATCTTAGAGAACAAGAAATTTTAAGATTAAGATTGCATCTAATCAGTCCCCTTGTGTATGTGAGATAAAATTGGACGACACAGGATTTGCTCTGCCCTTGCAGAAAATGATCCTATTTCCTTTTACCTGATTACGTCCATTATAGGAACACCTCCAGATTGACATTGTCATTGTGTATAATCCATCTTAAATCAGCTAGCCTCTAGGTCGCATAGATATGGGTGCAGGTAGTGGTGCGGACACAGACACGGACAAGGAATGGAACACAACAAATTTGTAAATGGTAGGATATGGCAATGTGACTATATATTTGTATTTTACATTAGATAAAATATTAAATTAAAATATTTATGCCATTTGGATTTTCTTTTATTATCTATAACACCTAAGAATTAAGTTAAATCAAACAAATAATTGAGAGTTTTTATCACGCCCCGGGCTCACGGGCCCGTTGGCGCGTGCAAGCCGTGGGACCCACCAAGAGTAACTCGATGTTGGCTTAAATCCACTATGAAAATGCTAGCAGTAGTTGTTCTTTGGCCTTGGGCTTTTCTCTATTTAAGCCACTAGCATTTCTTCACACTAGTCCATGTGGGACTAAAGTGGGGGTGTCACAATCACCCCACCTTACAAAGATGACATCCTCGTAGTCACGACATGACAATTAACACATCTTAGTGGCACTTGCCAGGCGATGTGGACTCTAGAGGTGGCTCCCACAGCATCCACACAGTGTAGCACTTAGCCCCGTATAGCACTTAGCCCCACACTTCCTACTGGCAATGGTTTTCAATTTACATCTGTCTGTATTGGAAAATGTACGTTCAAAGATCTCTTAGGTTCCTTAATCCTGGCAAGCACTCGAAGGAAGACTCTGAATATGGAAATACTTGGTCTTTTGTTTAGGTGCATGTCATTACTTGTCTTGTTGTCAGATCTCTTTCTGATTCTTATGTTACATAGATAGAGACTGACAGTTCTCTTTCTGATTATTATGTTTAGGTGCATTTGGTTCTTCTTTCTATACATCAAATCTCTTTGTAAAGATTCTTAGGCTAAGAGCTGACATTGATGCCGAGACTCTTAGATGCACAAGATTCCTTGGAATTTCCTTGCCTGTGAAGTCAAATACAGTAAGGTCAGAGATATCTCTGATAAATTAAGGCATAAGGCAAGTGGTCCAAAACATATATTCTCATAATACTCAGTCATAAGGTGTTCTGATTCCTGGATAATTAGTTCTCTAGAGAGATACCGACAGTTGGCTGTTTTTCAGCGAGAGACAATGTGTAGACAATTTTTGTGCAGTATTCGGTAGCAGTTAGATCTGGACATCTCTCACCTTCATCTTGAACGAAACTTTGGAGCTTTCCGTTTGGTTGGTGGTAACTTGTTTGATCAGACTCATCATTGTTGTGTGGATTACTAAATAACAGTGTCTATTCCGACGCTTCGTAGATATGTTCTTGACTGACCACCTGTGCAGTTGTGCTCATTCTGTAACGTTCTTCCTGTGCTCCTGTCATAATTAATTACTACTAGACTTATTTATACGGGAGTAGGGCTCGTAGCTTTCACGTTGACTCAGTAGATTCTGTTTTTCTAGCCCAACTTTTAAGTCAACCAACCTAGGTCGAAGCTTGTATTCTGGTCAGAAGGTTGAAGCTTGATGTCAGATGTGAGTTCATAAATCTAGACAATAACCATCCTTTGCAATCCACTTTATTTCATCTCTAAAGTAATAAACATCATTATAATCTATGGAAACTGAGGTTAATTTTTCTTCAACCTTAGGACTGTACTAGACTGATTTTGGCTTATGCCTCATGAGGAAATCACATTACAGGTAAAACCGTGGAGACAATCTTTCATGGCCTAAATAAATTCAGCATGGGACAGACTAAATTGAAGCATCTTTTATGGAAGCAAAGCTTACCATGAGTCATAGTATACACTACAAATGATAAATAAGTATGTCCCTTTTCAGTTGCTATACAGTACATCAGTTTCGCAGTAGCGATTTGTGAGGATAAATGGTCCTGTCTTATCTTTTCCAATAAAGTTCAAAACATGTTCCGGTTTGAACGAAAAATACCTTGAGACCACGGTATGCGTAGTCAAATCTTATCTCTCTGTTGGATATATAAGCACTCAAAGCAGAGATATTGGTCATCATCTCTCTTTGTTTCTTCCTTCTATTTCAGCTGTTATCTTCCTTGAGCTAAAAGCCAGTTTATTTCTTACTCGTATTTGTAAGTTAAATAGCTAGCTAGTTTTAATGGCAGCTGAAAGTAGCTAGACCCATCCTTATACTTAAAGCAATCAGATATAGGTACATAAATATGCAATAAGATAAGTTGGCTCTTATCTCATTAAAAACTGTCGCATCAACAGACATTAAATCTCCAAGATTTCAAGATCCTGGGGTCTTCTACAAGGTTTATGCCAACAAAAAAGCCATGTCACTTGATTCCCATTCATTACATTCTCATCCCTTCTTTATTTTAT